GCAATTATTTCGAATGACTTTCGTAAGTGATATTTCCTTGGCTTTCGTGCCGTCAGGAAAATGCATTCATCAAGGCAAACGGGAATCCATTTAGGCCAAATGGGGTTATTGCCGAGCCAGCTGAGATGGATGGATGGCGGGGATTAATACATTAGACGAGGAAAAAGTAACATGACATTAATGGGCATAAAATGTTGTGTAAAAAAACATTTACCTGTGCCAAATGTTAAGAATAATAGTAACAATAAGGGTCGCGGTCTTTATTTTGAAAAACGTAGTTTATAATTTGGTATCTAAGAATTAACAACCATTTAATATATAAAAAAAGTACATTTTACTAATCATTTTTAAGTATTAATCTTAAATTGCATAAGAACAAATACTATCTAATAAACCAAAAAATGTAGTAAACTAAATAACTAGTCTAGGAAAAAACATTTACCTGTTCTAAACGAAGGGCAAAGTTACCTATATCTAACCAATTTTGTAAAAACTAGATAATAGTTTGATCTTTAAGAATTTAACAAAAAATTTGGGAACGAAAAATGTTAGTTGAAATAAACGTTTTTGAAAAATTCTATCTCAAAAGCCAACAAATGTAGTGCATTAAAGTACAGAAGAACTTTGCTGAATTTATCTTATAAACAAGCATTTTTCAATGAAATGTGGGCAATTAGAATCCAATAAAAAATCAGTGCACAAGCTTCTTAGACAAGATTTAATATCCACTTAGTCATTCAAAATATATGATTATCGCGCCATTGAAAAGCCCATATATCACCGCCAAGTATAATTTACAGCCATAACAATTAAGTCTTAAAAATGTTTCGCATATTTCAGCGCACGACATAAATTACAGTTGGCCAATTTACAGCCGAATTCTCTTGAGGCCATATGAAGTATGAAAGGTAGCAGAGGTAGCAGTACAAACACACCGCACTTTCGAAATTCCGGTGAGAATTTCAGGCCCACGGGTCGGCCGAGAAGTCACGGCCCACGAAATCCCTTTGGGGCAGAATGCGGCGAATTGGCCGAGGCTTTGTTTCGAACGTATTAATTGAGGAAGATAAAAGACAGATTTATTGTACGTGCTCGAATGGATTGTACTGGGAAAGGTTCAAAGGTTTTTCGGTATGAGGGGGAAGTACATTGACCTTAATTGGGAAACTCTGGGTTTCAGTAAGTGATTAAATCAATTTTTTTTTAATTTTTTGTATATAGGTTTATGCCAATTTGTCATAAAAAGGCGGTAAATTATTCCGCCCAAAAAGTGATACACATTGGAATACTACTTCAATAAGAGAACCAACATTATATTATTAAAGCTGTTACATCCTTCTGCACTTTAGTAATAGTATGATTTTTTCTTATATTTAATTTTATTGCCTTAGGAAGTTTAATGAAATTAAAGGCAGTGGGCCAGATCAAAAAAAATCAACAATTAGGCCAACGTAGACATAATAAATAAAATCCAGACAACTAAATAAATTCAGGGAATATACATAAAAATTATTGGCCGCACGCATAAACGCAATAAACACATGGAACTTAAAATAGTGTGCTTCGTAATCTAATAAAAATCATCTTAAAAATAAGAAAAGTTAAATTTAATTTAAATAATTATAATAATTTTAAAAATTTTGACGTTCCTTGGAAATTGATAAAGAACAACATATTTATATACATACATATTTATTTGAATGCCCATAACTATATATTATTGATTTAGAAAGGTTTTAAAATAGTTTATAATTTATTCTTAACTTATTCAGTATTGCAATATACACAGTTTGCCTCTATTTTGGCATAGTTAGTCGCTTTTTTGCTGTTCGCCCGTTTGGCAATGAACCAAAAATACGTTTTGGCCAGCAGACACTACAATAAGACCAACAACAACAACTGATTTGTACAGGTGCGAAAAGTCTGTGATCACTTGTAGGTGAGGCGAACTCTGCGATCGCGTCATCTCATCGAGTGCCCTTTTGGTGGCGCCTGCTGGCGACTCTCAAGATCTCAAGATCCCAAGATTTCCCCCAAAAATGAGAGGAAGACGATCTTATTTACGTCTTTCACATGGGGTGTTCTACGAAATGGATATAATTGGAGGGGGAGAATCAGTTGAAAGCATGTTTTGTATTTCTTGGCCCCTGGTTCCGTACCCCCTTGTCTTCTAATTATTCTTATAGTGAACAATTCGCTTTGTCTGCTTGTTTACTTGCTCTGTGTTTTTTCGTTATTTATGTTTACATTATTTTTGGGTACACTAAAAAATGTGATTTTTAGAAAAGCAATAATTCTCAAAAAGTTTATTAATCAAATAACGTAGTATGGGGTAAAGATTAGTCGATTTATAACGCTTATATTGGCCTTTGTTGTTCCCCAATTTAATTTTGGATTTTCCCAATGTTCAAGTTTTCTTTTGGTTTGAGTATATTTTGAATGAAAAACAGCGGCGGATGCTTATTGTTGTTGCAACTTGTAATTGGCCAGGGACGGCCATATAAAAATAATTTCCTCTCGATTTTATGAACAGAAGAAAAATGCATATATAATTAGATTCAATCAAACGGATGAGCATATAATCACTCGTAATTGAGTCACATAGTTCGGTTTATTATTTAATGAGATGAAAAATATTTTATGTTTAAATGTGTCAACATAATTTAATAAGCATCATTAAAAAACTCGGTTCCCGTGCATATTTTTGTTTATAGTAACTGGAGCATATAATTTTATTTTAGCTGCTTTTTAAATTATACGTTTTTTACCAGAAAGCGATATAAGTTTAGAAGGGTATGATAAAACAATAGCATTTTTTAAAATGTTTTTTTAGGAAAAATCAAAAAAACAAGTAAAATTTTAAAACATTTTAATGGATTTTTTAATATGTCTGAGCTTATAATACATAATTATTTTAGAACATTTTTTTAACTATTTTATGTTTCTTATAAAAAACCTAAATACTTTTTTTAAAAACGTTTTTTTCCGAAAAATAATAAAAATGAATACATTTTTAAAATGTTTTAATGGGTTTTTTAATATGTCTGATCATATAATATTTAATTATTTAAGAAGATTTATTTAACTATTTCATATTTCTTATCAAAATCTTTTAATTAATTAAAAGGTTGTATGAAAAAGTAAGCTTTCTTCTGGGTAATAAAGTCGGCTGAACTCCTTTCATTTTCTACTTATCCGCAATTACAAATATTAACTTGATTGAGATTGTTCAACGCACGCACCGTTTGGCCACGCCCACAGTGTGTCAAACACGCTAATTTACTGTTACATTATTTAAACACATACACACACACTGCCACCAACATTGGCACACACTCGCCGACATACATACAAGCCATGGCTATGTAGAAGCGATAAAACTGAAAGGTTGTCACTTTGGCAGCGTTAGGCAGTCGCTCGTGTTGGTTGGGATAGGCAATGGTGTTGGTGACTGGGAGGCGGTGGGCGAGGGGAGGCCGGCGGTGCGGAGGGGGGAGGCAAAGAAAAACAACCAAGAATGGGACAACAGGGCGCATGAGCGATGTGTGTTGGCAACATGTATGAGTATTGCGATTGCAACATGTTGACAAGGTGGAATGTGAGTTAAACAAGAAAAGATTTAATATTACATGCAAGAAAACAACAAATTATTGAGAGGATTTATAATACAGTTAAAATAAAACTTTAAGAGAATTAAAAGAATTTTGATATTGATTAAGGTTTTCTTAAATAATTTTACGTTAAAGAAGGGTTCCTTTTTTGTGTAGAAGGTAAAAAAATGTAGAAATAAAAGAAAATGTGTGTATAAATAGGTAAAAATAACCAAAAAAAACAAAAAAATACTTTACTCTAGGACAATTTTGAAACAATATACAAATAAAATTTAAATAAATTTGTCCATATCGTACAATTTAATGAAACCAAAATGTAACAAATATTTTTTGTAGGTAATAGTAGTATATATGTAGCATTTTTCGAAGCTTCCCATCTCTTATAGATTTATTTATTATATTTTTTTATGTGGTGCAAACAAATAATTGTAAAATAATGCTGGCAATGGGCATGAGCTACAGCAGCTATAGGCATTCAGCTCTTCAGGTTTGATATCATTTCATTTTGATTTCTTCGGTCTATTTGAATCTAGCTTATTTTCTTCATGTTTAAGTAGCTACATTGTTTTTTTTATTCTTATATACTACATTTTACATTTTCTCTTATGGATTAAATTTAAAAATTGAAGTAAATTAAATAACAATGTAAGTATATTAAAATGTTGATTAATTTTATGAAATATTTCAATATAGGTAAGTGCATATTTAATGTTTTTCTGAGTATAGAAAAAAGAAAAAATAAATTTTAATAAGTATTTGCCTTTTAAGTACTTAAAAATTATTACAAAAGCTGTATGAAAAAGGATTATATATATAAAAGTTTAGTTTATCTATCTATTTCCTAAAGTTCAAGTTAATAAAAGGATAACTACGTATGTTACTCTACATTCTAAAGTGAGAGGTGATAATCATAAAAATCCTAAGAATTGATGGCTTCAAAGGCTCACTGCGAATAGCATCCACAAATTTTCCCGCCAATTGCAGGCCAAGCCGAAGTATCTACAAACAAACGCTCGCTCACACACAGACACACTCTCTAACAACCCCGAAATGCCACAAAGCAAATAGAGGGGGTGGGGGTTGTGGGTGGTGTTTTTAGGGGGGCAGGGGGCATCCATTCGTCTGACGTTTGTTCGTAAGGCGTAAAATCTGCAAAGCTCAACACTGAGACCAAAAGCCGGTTTCCCAGGACCCCCCCCCCCATCCTTTGATATACATCCCACCCCTCCCCACTGTTATTTACATTTTGTTTTGCCGGCTTTTCCGCACGAAGCGAAATCCGACAGATACACGAACCAAGACGAGCGGAAAAACCGAAAGATACACGAGCCTTTGGCCAGCGATTCGGGGCTGGCTTTATTTTCCGATTCGATTCCCATCCACCGATTCAGTTGGCAACGGCCCGCACGCTGAAACGGTCAGATACACGCTTTTCACTCAGCTAAAAGGAATTCAAGAGAAATATCTGTGTGTTTTTGAATATTTTTCTTAATATTTGGAATCTCGAGTGCCGCGTGTGTTATTTTGAGTTATCGCGATCGCGGCTAAGTGCAATTAGTGCCACAAATTTAGTGCAATGAATTGGGAAATGTCTTTTTCTGGCCAGGCGCATCATTAGCAAATGAATTAACAAAAATAAAAAAGATATTACAGTGCTGTTGTGAGTGTTGCGAATTTTTCAAGTGTTCAAGTTCCAGTTGCTCTAAGGTAATTTCCCCACGCCCCCAATATAGAGTACTCTAACGTCAGACCCTAAAAATATGTCACAAAAAAATAACAGAATGTCGCGCATGTTAATTAAGACAAGGCATAAAAAAAGAAATTCCGAATGTTGGTGGTGGCGGTGGGGCCAATGCCAATCCATCCATCATTCAATTGCCAGTACAGCTACGGATTTTTTGGGGTTTCGGTTCCTGTACTCCTACCCCCCATAAAACTCTGATTTTCTATTATTTGTTTAGCCGCTTGGAAGCCAAATGTGCTTTAATTTTAATTTGAAATTCAGGAGAGTCGAGTCGAGTGCACATGTGTTTTCATTATTTTTTAATCTTGCGTCAGGCGATAAATAATCAGCTGGCTGCCAGTGCGATAAATATTTATGCAAGTGGACGCAATTGTCTAAACAGATGCCGCAGACAATCTGATCCGCAGCGATCCCCGGCACTTAATAAAATCTGCGTAAAATCAGACTACATCAGACTTTCAATACGCGTCCCATCAACTCCGTTTCCTTCTTTTTCTGGCCGATTTCGGTTTCGATTTGTTTGTTTATCTTGATGCAATTTGTCCGGCCACGCCTCTCAATTAAATCGCAGCCCCCCAAAGTTATTCCTCCGGGGTTGGGGATCCCTTGTTTTGATGTTATCAGCTGAGACCCTGCCGTTGTTGCATGTTGGCTAACAAAATAATTGACAAAACAAATCATTTACGTGGCAAAAGTTTTCGGCACCCCCTTAACCCCAGTCATCGCTTAAATTGCACACGGCGGCAAGACACGCAACATGTTTGATGACAAAAAAACAAACAAAATGTAAGAAAAAATCAGGAAAATTGTGCAACATTCGGAGGCACAGAGAATTTCGCGCTGAAATATAAATAACAGCATAATAACTAGACAGACCGGCCGAGTGGAGAGATAAATGAGCATAATAGAAAGCACATAGAGGATGGCAATGGGTATGTGTCGAGAACAATGAGTTATTTCAACAAATGTTTTGGTTTAATATAGTCGAAATTAGTTTGAGCATAGGGAACCAGTACAAGCATAGGTGTTAGTATTATTTATTAAATTTCTTTATCTATTGGTGAAATATAAAATCATAGTGATAAAAGTGTGTATTAGAGAATTATAGTTAGGTATATTAATGCTATTTAAAATAATATCTTAAAAATGCGAGTGTGTACTATCACCAAAGAAAAAAACATGGGTCCTTTATAAACTGGTTTACAAGATAATATACTCTTGTTGTTTAACCAAAAAGGCAGACATCCTGTAATTTGAATTTACCAATTTGTTTTAATTAAATTCAAATGTTAATTTAGAAGCAAATATGTAATGGTAAATTTATATTATATTATATTATAATATTATTCATAATATTATTCAAAAGTGATATTTGTTTAATTGGTTGAACAGGTTGCCCAAATTAAATATTCCAATATTTATTAAATATTAAATTTTCTTCAATAGTAGTTACTTTATGACAAAAAAGGGTCTTAAACTGGAAAATAATTTTTAAAATAATATTATAACAAGCAAAAACAGTGAGTAACTTGCTCGAAAAGGCTCAAACTAATCCAAAAATCGGCTTCGGTAATCAAACCAAATGCAAACGTGCTCTTAACCGCAAGTTAAATCATATTACGGGCTGTCAAACCGCAAAGGGTCCCATGCCCAATCCTGCGGGGAAACAGATTGTGGGTTTTCCGGGGTTAATGTTTGGCTTGCGGCTCACAGTCGATTGCCTGATTTACGGGCACGCCCGCATACGAAAGGCTCATTGCAATAGTCAACATGTTAACATGTTGTTAAACACACGGTGGTGAATCGGGATGGGGGCCGAAATTTTTACGGCCCGTTTTGGGCTAGAAATTCCCACATTTATGGCTATTCGATTTTAGGTTATTGCCATGCCGCGTTGAATAGTGCGATGATATGGGGGTTCCTGCGGAGAACTTCCTCTGCTGGCAGGCGAATGGCGCCTGCTGCTTTTCGGTTTATTAAAAACGTATTACTCCCTGTTGAACGCCTCACAGTAGGCAATGGTTTTATGACTATTCAATACACATTTTCTCATGAACAGCATACTAAGTAGATAAAACTAAATAGAACATTGGGTGGTAACCAGGCGTTGTCCTTGGCGATCTGCAGGTGACTGGGCGATATAGTTCATTCAAGTATACGCTGAGTTTATGTTCCGGTGATTGGCGTGTGAAAAACTTTATAGCATTTTAATTGCTCCAACTTTCGATTGCCTCACAGGTCACATGTGCTCAGCTCCTGAAACTTATTCATCTCGATCGTGTTTATTTATGTGCGTCTAATTTATGCGAGTAGTTTTACTTAGGTTAGATTTCATCGACCTTGCTCCGTCCGAAATTGTGATAATATTATAAAAATTTCAACAACTTCGTCGTCGTCACCTGTGTTGAAGTTTCCTAAAGTGCGCTGCGTAGAAGTGAATAATATAAACACAAATTGTATACTTTTGGGTGAGGAAAAATTGTATAGGAAATTAAGAAACTAGTTCTATAGAATGTAAACCATCTAAAATAGATTATAATATTAAATGTTTCAAAAAATGTTATAAATAGTTGAAAAGGTTTTTTCAGTGCTCTTTAGCTTCCCAGTGCAGAGTTCACTTGCGAATTTTAGCCAGATGACGCAACAAAGGCCACAACCGTATTAACTTTTCATCTAAACAGCCAAAAACCACAAAACTATTTAACGCTTTCTGCAGTCAAAATGAAAATCAGTGTTTATTGGGGGGATTGGTGGGAAATTCCGAGCATATTAAAGCCATCTGCCCGGGGGCGCTGCATCTGCAACTGCAATTCGCAGGTGTTGAGATGCCTCCTAATTTATGAGCTGTGCATAGTGGGTTAATGTAACAGCAAATGGCTCATTGCGGTTTGAGTTAAACAAGATGGCCCGTCAACCACCACCACCACCCCCACCCACTGCCACAAGGTCGCCTGACTGGGACTAGAATGAGGTGGGCGGTGGATTTCATTGGGTTGCATTTACATGCTCCATTTGGCTGGGACGAAAAAGAGGGTTTAGAGTAAAAGAGTTCAATTAGAGCTTAGGGAGCACGAATACGGAAACGAAAAACCCCCAGAGATCCAAAATCGGTCGATAATTTCATTGCTCCGGCTTCCCACCTGATTAGCATTCCTTTGTGGGACAGATGTCTGGCGTTATTTATCTTCAACGTCAGAAAAAAAATGTAAATGCAGCTTTAGCTGTTTTAAATTTCTTTTAAAACACTTAAACGCTTTTCTCTTCATTTAACGACAAGTTTAACGAATGGAATTAAGCTCAATAGAGTAACTTAGATTAACAGTTGAAGATCATATATCATTTGATACATCATATAATCATCACTATTATTAAAATTATCTGAAGTACTAATAGTTTTTAACAAAAATATCCCAAAATATTTAAAAAATCTAAAAATATATGAACTCTGAATAATCTTTTTGAATTTGGAATTTTAAAAAAACCAATTTATCATTTTCATATCATATTTAAATTTCTATTGCTACAAGCTCTTCCGCTTAGCTTGTAGCTTGTATAAATAATGTTTATAAAAAGATAATCAAATCTAAAAAACTTATTTTTTTAAGAAAACTTATTATTAGGTAATAAAGTACGAAATAATAAAAACTGCTGTCAGCTACCAACTTTGAGCTATTAAGTCTTTAAATATTCTTATAAATAATAACGAGCAAATCTGATAAACTGTGATATTGACTGATTTAGCCCATATAAATATTCATATTGAGGGAGGTTGGATCAACTCTCCGCAGCTCTGAGAATCAAAGAGCCTGTAATAAACCGCTGAAATATTACGCATACGCCAGGGACGCATAAATAACTAAGCAGAACGAAGTATTTTCCGATCTGATTGATGCCTTCCTGCCGGAAAATCGTTTTGGCCAATGGCGTGAAATTCACTTTCGTTCACTTTTGGCTTTTGTTGTTTTGCCCTCTTTGTTGATGCCATGCACATTTGCAGGCTTTTGTTTTTGGGGTTTACGTGTTTGGGTTCATGTGCCACGGGATTTTATTGATTCCAGTTTGAGTCACTGCCAAGAAAAAAAAGAAGACAGGGAGTTGTTGAGTGGTTGGAAGCCAAGGCGAAACACAGCGAAATAATTAGCTAGGCAGCTCGTAATGTCGGGCCATAAATCCAGAGTCTGGCATTCCGTGTCAAGGCTCGTCGGCGAATCGATTGATAAATTAATCAGAATTAGTCCTTGAAAGGCCATACTAAATATTTATAGGCTTCGTATTAGCTGCACCCAAGAATAATCGACTGTAAGTGCTTCGTTGGAAATTTTTTCAATTTCAATTGTAATTTTAAATGTCCATGGGAATGGTGTACAGCGGAGAACCCTTAAAGCTTGGCCTAAACAATACTTACTTGATATACAAAATAAATCTGCTGTATCTGTGTCCTCCGCCCAGCAACGAAGCCACTTAAGCCAACTTTGGATGTAGCTGACAAATGAAGACTGACATTCACCAAACAATTGAGCTACCGAAAAAAATAAGAAATGAAGAGAGCTGAAAAACAGCGAAAACAAATTATTCCGCTTACAACTTGTCGCGACTGTTGAGTTTTTGAAAGCAACTTGTTGTCAGAAGGCTGCAGATTTCCAAGCTCCCATATTTTTTTGTCGACTCTGTGCAGAACGTGGAAGACTTAAAATAAAACCACTTAGCCGCTGAGCTCCATTTGCAACAATTGTTTGAGCCTCGCGAGCCTTGATAAAGTGTCCTCAGAGACATCAGTTACGGATTAGGGCAAGGGGAATCCCCGAATTTACGTCAAATGCACGAGTTTTCGGGGTAGAAAACATTTTTGAATAATTTAAACACTTAGCGGTTTTAGGGTGACAAATATAGAGGAGTTTAGGAAATATATCTTGATTATAAATGAAGAATATTTTCTTATTAGTAATTAAAACCGAATAACGTC